ATCTAGACATTTGGTAGACTTCATCATCACTGGTCTATCACAAGGATTCCATACTGGTCTCATACACATGCCTTCAGGAATCCTTGAATGTCCTAATTTACAATCTGCACAACAAAACCCTACAGCGGTTAGCACACTCATAGCCAAAGAAGTGGCAGAGGGCTCCCTATTGGGACCCTTTCAGTCCCCTCCTTTTTCCTCATGGCGGACAAACCCCATCGGTATTGTCACAGGGAAATCTTCCCACAAACAAAGACTTATCATCGATCTGTCTGCACCTCACACCTCTGCCTCACCTAGTCTGAACTCCCTTATCCCCTCTGAGGAATTTTCACTTCAATACTCCACCATAGATCACGCCATTACAGCTATCATGCAGGCAGGGGTCGGGGCATGGCTCAGCAAGACTGACATTACAAATGCCTTCAAATTATTGCCTATCCACCCTACACTATGGCACCTGCATGGCATTAAGTGGGCCGGGCACTACTACTTTTTCTCACGCCTAACGTTTGGTTCAAAAAGTAGTCCGGCCATTTTCGACGTATTCGCTGAAACATTATGCTGGTTATTATTAAATGTAGCCAGATGCCTTACAGTTATACACTACCTGGATGATTTCTTACTGATCGAAGAGAACACTTCCCCTCCCAGTAGCCTCATAGAAACCATCAGTCTTTTTAAACAGGTGGGTGTTCCAGTCTCCCCCACCAAAACTGAAGGACCAGATACAGTCATCACCTTTCTGGGAATCATGCTAGACTCAGCCACCATGCAAGCCAGCCTGCCACGCACCAAGATAGAGAACATTCTCACCAACATTAACCTCTACATACACCTCGGTGCTTGCAATCGCAAAGAATTGCAGTCTCTACTTGGGTCACTGAACTTTGCCATGCGCATTATACCTCAAGGCCGGGCTTTCATCTCACGGCTCCTAACCATGTTCCCACTGTTTAGACATGATGCACACAGGTTACCACTGGATACCCACGCCACGGCAGACCTACTTATGTGGAGAAACTTTTTGACCACCTGGAATGGGAAAAGCATGTTTCTCCCTAAATTGTCTGACTCCTCACCTACCATCTGGTCAGACGCGGCGTCTACCACAGGTTTTGCAGCAATTTACAGGAATGAATGGCTTTGGGGTAGCTGGCCTCCAGAGGTACAGGACCTGGAAGGGTTTTCCACTACCTCAGCTCTATTTGAGATGTATCCCATTGTGGCAGCTGCCGTGACATGGGGGCATCTATGGGCAGGTTCGTCAGTACGTTGCCACTCAGACAACCAAGCTACCTGCCACATCATAAACAAATGCCGATCCAAGTCACTGACCATTATGAGGTTCTTGAGGAAACTCACCTGGCTGGCTGCATGCCATAATTTCTTCTTGTTTTGTGTCCATGTCCCAGGTGTTTGTAACACGGCTGCTGACAATTTGTCTCGTTTCAATTTTCAGGCTTTTTGGCAAATACTTCCGTCAGCCGCACGTACAGCCACGACCACTCCACCTTTCCACCAGCTAGTCATGGACTAGAAGCTATTATGCAACATAGCAGGACATTGGCACAATTAGCACTGTCCACCAATACCCAGAGAACATATGACAGGGCTTTCCTTCTATTTAAAAGATTCCTGTCACTGCACAACGTCACACAACCTTTCATCATGACATCTTTGTTAGGTTTTGCTTCTTTTTGCCACCTCAAACTTAAATTATCTTACAAAACAATCAAGCTATATCTGACAGGCATACAACATCACATGCTAACATTACAACCAAACAACACAAGTTTCATGTCCTCCTACCAGATAAAAAACATCCTTAGAGGTATCCAGAGATCCGAACCCCCACGTACCGCGCAAAGGCTACCTATAGACTTCAATATCTTCAAGGATTTATCCAGCCTACTAGATTCAAAACCCTTTGCGAACAACACAAACCTTGGTATAAAAACCGCCATATACGTAGCTTTTTATGGTTTCTTGAGACCAAGAGAATTTACCGCCATCAACACATCCCAGTCCACTCACATTCTGCTTCATTCACACTTAACGAAACACATGGATTACTATATTTTAACTCTGCATCACTCCAAAACCAATCAACACGCACCCCCGGTAGAGGTTAGATACTATCCTACCCACAGCGTGTGGTGCCCCGTCACATTACTGGACACCTATACTCAGCATTTCAAAGCATCACCATCTCAACCACTTTTCTGTCTACAAGGTTCGGTACTCACTACCACCACCTTCATGACCCACGTCAGGTCCCTACTTACACAACTAGGCCTAAAATCAGCTAACTATTCGGGCCACTCCTTCCGCATAGGGGCGGCCTTCACAGCGTCCAGTGCAAACATTCCAGTACATGTTATCAAGTCACTAGGGCGCTGGAAGTCTTCTGCATACTCTAGATACATACCTAACCCGGTACAAGAAGTTAGAAATGCCTTTCAAGATATGTCTGGTTGAAGTATGTATACTGCTCGTTTCGTAATAAAGTATATTTTCTACTTTTGCCCTCTTTATTTGCAGGCCTACCTCATCGTCAGTTCCGGCACACCACAACCGACTTGCTCTTTCACACTATCCCACACTTATCAGTGTTTGTATCTTCTGTACTATCATGAGCCCTTAACACAAGTATTAAGGCCTTTTTGCCTGTAATTGTGGGAGGGGCGTATGACTCACCTTCTCCCTACTTAAGGGACACCCCTTACCTGGCTCCATACCGTTCGAGGTCAGCGCTGCATCACCCTCCCACCCACTCCTCTTTTATTTAACTCCTTTTTCTCATACATTTCTTATTGGTGGGCCCTCTTTATTTGCAGGCCTACCTCATCGTCGGTTCCGGCACACCACAACCGACTTGCTCTTTCACACTATCCCACACTTATCAGTGTTTGTATCTTCTGTACTATCATGAGCCCTTAACACAAATATATATATATATATATATGTATGTGTTTATATATGTATATATCTATATAATTTTTTTAAATATTTTTATTTATATATAGCTATATATATAGTGATATATACATATATATTTATGTATATAGATATATATATATTATTTCATTCTACGTGTATTTTGATATATATATATATATATATATATATATATATATATATATATATTAATTTCACAATACAGTTAGAACGAAATAACACACATCTATATATTTTTAATTATTTATTTTTAATTATTTTTATAATTTTATTTTTTAACGTATTTACATTTTAATTTTTTTTATAATATATATAAATATATATATAACAATAATTATATATATATTTAATCAGTATCAGTCTACGTGTAATTTGATATTAATATATATATATAATTATATATATATTAATAGTAAAATACACCTAGACGGTGTACGTGTGTGTATGTATATGTGTATATATATATACTTAGATATGATATATATATATGATCTAAGTATATATTATTATTTTTTTTACACTATTTATTTTATTTTTATTTTCAGCCAGCAGGGGGACCACCTGTCATTACAGGCAGTCCCCCTGCTGGCAATGCTGCAGCCAGCTACCCCCGGCCATGTGATTGTGGGGTCCTCGCAAGGACCCCACTCTCACACGGCCGGGGGACTTCAAGGAGGACGGACGTGCCGCGGGGGGCTCCCTGGGAGTCCCCCCCACCGCGATCGCCGGCGTGGGATCGCCGGCGACCGGGTAAGTACCGAAAGACCGGAGGGCGTACTATAACGCCCGGCGGCGTTTAGAGCCGCTTAGAATAGGGCGTAATAGTATGCCCTTTGGTCTTAAGGGGTTAAATAAAAATGCTCAAAGTAGAGCTGGATTGTATCCATAGACCTGTAACAAAAACAAAAACAGGTATTTGTTTTTGTTTTTCAAAATGTAAACAAAACCTGAAATTTGCGTTATATGTCTGTTCAGGCGTAATTCACCTCTTTCATATTATGTGCACCCACACTTATTATATATCATTGTATTCAGGGGAAACAGGGCTTTCATTTAACATCAAATATTTAGGTATGAAACATAATTTAATATGAATAAAATATAAAAAAATGGGAGAAAATAAGAATTTTTAAAACATTTTTAGTTCTACGTGACATTTTAACTGTGAATGTCATAATACTGTTTGCTTTTACTGCAATAAAATACATATATTTATATTCAGCAATGTCTCATGTGTAAAACAGCACCCCCTATGTACAGGTTTTATGGGGTTTTGAGAAGTTACAGGGTCAAATAAAGCATGTTACATTTTTCAGTTTTTTCACATTGAAATTCACCAGATTGGTTACGTTGCCTTTGAGACCGTATGGTAGCCCAGGAATGAGAATTACCCCCATGATGGCATACCATTTGCAATAGTAGACAACTCAAGGTATTGTAAATGGGGTATGTCCAGTCTTTTTTAGTAGCCACTTGGTAACAAACTCTGGCCAAAGTGTTAATATTTGTTTGTGTGTGAAAAATGTGAAAAACTAATTTGATCAATTAACACGTAATAAAGATTATGTATGTGAAGGGAAATTTCAATGATTATAATGTGCCAACATATCTTTCAATATAGCTGGGGAAGTAACAATAATATATGACACCAGATTTAGAAGGTATTTTAAATTTCTGTTTGACAAATGCCAGCTGACCAAATGTAATGTCTCTCTCCCCTTCATGTAGGAAAAGAACACACGTATAGAAATACAGTAACAAACTCAGATTAAAAACATCTATATTCTTAATTCAACTCCGGTCTCTATGTCTACTTATTATACTCATAAACAGGAGTAGAATAATATGACATCTATATGACATGTTTGTTTTTTGTCTATGCAGTGTGTTGCAATGACAGATACCAAGGAAGGGAGGATTCTGACTGAAAAAAGTTTAAGCTGAGACACTCTCATTGTTCTGGACTGTTATTAAATGTATTGTCTAAGTCCTTAATGCCATTGTGCATTGTATATTGATGTGAGTTAGAGATGTTTTTTTTTTTCTCTCTGAAGCTGGACCCCATGCTGTAAGATACTTCCTATCCTAAGAAAACACGCCTTCCATCCTCCTCAATGGTACAGCCTTAACAAGCCCTGTGATGACCAGGACAGACGTAACATAGAATGGATGCCAAAAAATTGTATAGAAAAGGGTTTTGAGGGGTTTCAAGAAAGCAAAACCTGGAACACAGTGGTTGGTCTTTCGGTTCCACTTCTCACACAATTCCCAACCTAATGATCTGCTCTTGGTGAGTAAAGCATGCATCTTCGTTCTCACTGATTTGGCCTCATCCCTGTACGCAGGGCCAGATTAAGAGCCCAGTGGGCCTGGTGCTGACAATTATAACGGGCCTAATTACAGAATCATATCGCCCAAAAACAGTAAAACACTCCCAAGCGTCATGTATCTGATGGAGATGGTGCTGGAGAGATAGAAAGCAGCAGCTATAAGAAAACACATACCCTAGGCTTATCTCTCTCTAATTTATGTTTTCATCTTTCAAGTAAATCCATAACCCCTTAAAAGCAGTGTCCAGTCAAGCAGGAAGGTGAAAGGGTGTGCAATTGACACAAATCACGTAACCTGCCAAAAGGGGCGAACATGCCCAAAAAGAGGACATGTCTGCCCAAAGAATTAGAAGGCCAGCCTGGCATGAATGCATGTCAGGCTGCCTGCCAATCATGCAGCTGGCCAACTAAGGGCATACCATGCAGACAGCACCCTGAGCTTGGCATAAATGCATATAATGATGCGCTCACTCAACGCTTTCTAAGGACTGTCCCCTAGCACTCGCTGGTCCACTTGTCTCCTTACCTTCTTACTAGCAGGCAGAAGCTCCTGGTATATAGTCTGGGACAGAGTAAAGCTGTATGTAGTGAGTGTAGAAGAAAGGGTCGCTATAGGGTCAGATACACAAACATGAATTCATGACCCTATAGTGTTAACACTACCATCTAGCCCCTCTGGGCCCCTCTGGGCCCCTCATGCCTCCATAAATATAGCACAATCTTACTATATTCAAGCCTGAAGCTGTAACTCTGCATGCTGTTAGACTCATAAAAACAAGCAGTCTGCTGACATCATTAGAAGTGGTGGCCTGATCCAATCACAGTTCTTCCCCATAGGATTGGCTGACACTGACAAAGAGGCAGATCAGGGTCAGAGCCAGCATGATTCAAACACAGCCCTGGCCAATCAGCATCTCCTTATAGAGATGAATTGAATTAATGAATCTCTATGAGGAAAGTTCAGTGTCTGCATGCAGAGGGAAGAGACACTGAATGTTTGGATGCATTTTAGGCAGCCATGACCCAGGAAGGATCTCTAACAGCCATCTAAGAAGTGGCCAATTAAGTTATCACTAGGCTGTAATGTAAAGACTGCATTTTCTCTGAAAAGACCGTGTTTACAGCAAAAGCCTGACGGTAATGATTCTACTCACCAGAACAAATTCAATAAGCTGTGGTTGTTCTGGTGACTATAGTGTCCCTTTAACTATATTCATTGTCAGCCAGTCCACACATGTTTTGTTCCCATACATCCCTCTTAAGTTTCCATACTTAAGTAAGAGTATGTGAAAAGTAGTTGGGGTTGCCACCTTTCTTGGAAAAACATACCGGCCTTACTAATTTGCATAATTAAATATGTATGGGTGACATCACATGATGTAAATCACAAGGAGTGACATAAGAGAAAATGCTGTAAAATCACCAAAAACTACTTAGTTTGATTCTGCTGTATAGATGGATTCCTCCCAGTGCCCCCATGTCTCCCAGTGCCCTCATGACTCAGTGCCCCCATGTGTCGATTACTCCAGGTCTCAGTGTTCCTATGTATCAGTGTCTCAGTGTCCCATGTCTCCCAGTGTCCTCTAGTGTCATGTCCCCAGGTCTCCCAGTGATCCTATGTATCACAGTGTCTCAGTGGCCCATGTCTCCTTGTGTCCCCATGTATCCCAGGGTCCCCATGTCACTACGACACTAGGAAGACGAGGAGACCTGGGGACACGGGGAGACCTAGGGACACCAGTGACACTGGGAGACTAGGGGACTCTGGCTGGGACACATGGGGACAAAGGGAAAATAGGGGACACTTGAAGACATGGGCACACAGACTCAAGGGACAGACACTAGAGACACTGGCTGGGGGACATGGGGACATTGAGACATGGGGGGACTGGGAGACATAGGGACACTGAGACACCAGGGCCACAGACACTAGGGACACTAGCTTGGAGACATGGGGACATTGTGACACTTGCGGCACTGAGAGACATGGAGGCACTAGGAGACATGGGGACAGTGAGACACTGGCAGACTGGGGGCACTGTGAGACTAGGGGGCACTGAGACACCAGGGACACTGGCTGGGAGACATGGGGACACTGTGTCCCCATGTGTCTGTCTCCCAATGTCCCTTATTGTCTCAGTGTATGTCTCCT